TATATATATATACGCGACACCCTACAAACCCGTTAATTGAACTTCTCTAGAAAGCAATATACCCATATTGATAATTACTCGTCTCCCTAGAAAACACTTCCAACGATACGATGTACTGCTTAGGCGAAGCATCAGATGTTTGCAATGACATCTTCCTTCAACCTTGCACGACCACTCAAGCATCTCCTAGGTAGCATGCCGCTGAACTTGTTGGTCGCAGATCATACTCTAGCTTTATGGTGAATTTCGGAAAGTTGGAACATGGATTGATTTAGGATGATTAATGCTGAAACCACCTATACTTTACCTTAAGGCATATGGATATTCTTTCTGGGTACGCTGACAGGCGATTCAGCTTAGAGGGTGGCCCAGAATCAGGCTCTTCAATCGCGGGTTTAGGGTTTAGGATTTANNGGATTTAGGGTTCAGGGCTTAGGATTTAGGGTATAGAGTCAAGGGTTGAAGGGGAGGTAAGCCTTCAAAGCCTCTCCGTCATGTTCTCCAGAGAGAGTGCAAGTCAAGACTTGGCATATAGTATGATCTTTTTCTCTACGATACTATACTATACTATAGTAGGTTATACCAAATTAGACTATACTCTATTAGGTTATGCTATCTTAATCCTGATGCTGGATCTCACTCGCCCCCTCGGCCGCAAGAGTCAGCTCCAAAGTTGGCGAAGACGAAGCCGAAGAACGCACCTCTCAACCCTGTACGCAAAACCCTGAACCCTAAACCCTCAACCCCAAAACCCTAAACCCTAAACTCCAAAGACACCCAAACCCCAAACCCCAAACCCAGAAAACCCTAAACCTTAAACCCTGCTCGAGAGCCATCTTCTTGAACACTACAGGGGGGGGGGGGCCTGGCAGGGTGTCATGCAGGGTCCCGCTCACCGAGCCTTATCTCCATCTTACACACGAGAACTCCGAAGAAACCGTCGTAGCACCAACCCTAAACCCTACACCCTACTGAGGCCAGTCGCATCAAGAAATAAGATGAACCCTTCACCTTTCTAGGGGCCCTTAAGGGTACATATAGGGTATATAGTAGGTATATCAGGATCCCAGGCTTAAGGGCCCATACTAGGGGCCCATGGTTTCAGGTTTCAGTCTTGGGTCCCGGCAAGACCGGTCTCCACTCGAGGCGTCTCATAGGCAACTGGCGCGATCTTATCGAGCTCTGAGCAACCGGGCTTTATTTGGGGGTTTCAGAAAATACGGGACCCTAATATAGTACCCTAAATAGTAGGATCCTTATTATAAGGACCCCCAAATAGGATACCCCAATTTTCGGAAACTCCTTTATGGGAGCTTTTCATGAGGCTGTGAAATATAGGGGCCTTAGTAATTAGAAGAGGGTTTTCGGGCCCATTATACTATAATTTTAGTAAGGAAGTCCCAACATACTATAGGTAATTCTGTAGGCCCCAAACCCTAAACCCTAAACCCTGAACCCCTAGATTAGGACCTTTCTTGGAGCTCCAGCAGTTAATAACAGTATTGTTTGATCAGGCTCGCTTTCAAAGTTCCAGGAGTTGTTTCTGTGCTTTTCTGGGTTTAGGCTTCACATGGTTCGGGGGTTTAGGGTTTAGGGTTTAGGGTTTGGAGATGTAGGGGATTTGGCTTCAGGGCTTGGGGTTGAGGGTTAGAGATCTTTCAGCATTGAGGGATTCAGGATTTTGGTATTTAGGGTTGGGGTGCTTAGGAATTTCGGTGTCTTTAGGGGTTTTAGGGCCCCTGGGAAAAGTCAAAGGCTCATGAAAGCGCTGACTTGGAGGTGCATGGGTAGTTATAAGAATCGGCCTTAGAAGTCCCCCAATATGGGTTATAGCTATAGTTTGCCTACTTATATCCCTCAAATACAACTACGCATGAACCTCCAAGTACTCCTAAGGTCCTCAATATAACTTGACAGCTCAGTAGTTCAAGGGATTGGGTTTAGGATTTAGGGTATTCGGGCTGTTGGGGCTTAGGTTTAGGATTTAAGGCTTCAGGGTTCAAAGGATTGGCTTTTTCCAAACTGGAAAATCTAAAGACTAGTCAGAAGAAATTGTGTTAGCGGCTGTCTGCCGCACTCTGCCCTAAGCCTCCAAACCCCTCCGTGGGTATACTCAAAAGTTCGGTCCCTAAATGCTAAAACCTAAACATACCTTAATCTACCAGAACCTACTCGGCTGTAGTGTCCCCTGAAAGTGTTTTCGGGGTTGTATTAGGAAACTACAAAACATAGGTGACATGGGACTTCTATAGGGGCTCTGCAAGGATTGTTATCGAGTTTCATGAGGTTTGACAATGGTCAGGAACCCTAAACCCAAACTGGGAAAAGGAAAACCACCCCTCAAAAGTAAACCCCCCTCATAACTAAACCCCCTAATCCCTGCATGCTTGAAGTCCCTTTGCTCTGAAATCTCTAAAGCCCCTGCAGCCTGAGCCTTGTAAGTGAAGCAAGAGGAATGAACAATGGAAACCTAAACCACCCTCTTGTCACATGTCGTGTCCTGTAGTAGTCAATGGAAACCTACAGTAGTAGCCCTTACGGATCCCTTGAGGAACCCTAAACCCTAAACCCTAAACCCTTCAACGAACCCTTCGAAGGAACCCTGAAAGGAACCCCTGAAAGTCGGCCTAAACCCTAAACCCTAACGGCCCTAACCCGGTTTAGGGTTTAGGGTTTAGGGTTTAGGGTTTTGGGCCCCCCTCCCCGGCCGAATTCACTTCCGGAGTTGCCGGAGCCACGCTGTGCTCCTCAAAGCCACTGGGGGACACGGAGCTTTCCGGTTTCGGGTTTGGCGGCTAGGGGATTTAAAGTTTAGGGGTTGGGGCTTTAGGGGCTTGGGGATTAAAGGTTTGGGGTTCAGGGATTACTTGTTTAGGGGTTTCGGGTTAGGGTTTAGGGGTTTTGGGGTAGTTTCGGGTTCGGACTTAGGGGATCTAGTAGTCAAGGCTGTTGGGGGTTGTGGTTTTGGGATGAGGCTAGAGTTTGCGGGTTTTGCGGGGTTCAACGGTTTAACACTTCAATCTTCTCGGGTCGGGGTTTGGGTGTTAGCGGCTCTTGATTTTGGAGCAATCGAGCTTTTTGGCTGGGGGGGCCGTTATCTGAGGACTCTACTGCCGGGTAAGGCTACTTGGGTTCATCTTGAGTTCAGGGTTTCGTAGGGTTTCGGGTTTAGGGTTTAGGGTTTAGGGTCCAGGGGTAAGGCAGAAACCTGCGAAGCTGGTAATTGGCCAGGATTTGGCCAGAACCCGCTTGTACCAGAAGCTTAGCTTCTGATGTAGGGGCCTCAATAACTACATTAAGGCCTCTATATTACCCACCACACTTCGGCTGTGAAGCCGGAAAATGCGACTTGTCGTAACGGAAGGTCTTTGCAGTATCTTGGGGCGTTACTGACTACTACTCGAAGGGGATAGAAACCCGAATAATCCGGGCCGCTTTTTCATCTTACTTCAAACACCCTAAGCCTTAGCCCTGAGACCGAGAAGCAAACACGCAACCCACAAAAAAAAAAAAAAAAAACAC